TTTTAAAATGTCATAATTATAATTAAAAAAATACCTTTCAAATATATTTTCGGTTATTTCTAAAAACTTTTTGTTAATTATTAAAAAAAATTATTAATTTATAAATATATTTTCTTTTTGATTAAAATATATTTTCCATTATTTTAATTATTAATTAAAGATATTTGTATGGGGTTGGTGGCCAAAAAGGGTTAAAAGGCAGATGCGTGGAAGCAGAGTGCCACGTGGGGGTGACCTTACTTCCTTTATATTCCACATCCGCTTCATCTTGATTAAGGTATTAAACATTTATGCGCCTGTCTCCGTCTTCCACGTGTCCCTCTATTCCCTACTTCCTATGTTTTTGTTACACGTGTTCAACCCTTTTTTTATTCTATGTTTTTTGTTTTTAAATTTATTTGATAAAAACAAGAGAAAACTCCAAATTTCGTTAGTCAAAAATCACGGGTTTTGAATTTACAAGATCATCATTAGACGTCAATATTTAATTTGTTCTTCATTTAATGAATTTTTAATTGTCGTTAGAGAAAAATGTCAAATCCAGACGTTTTTCCAAACCTCGATGTCATCTTGTAATTTTGAAATTGGAGGAATGAAACGTGTTATTTTCTTCAATATCGTGTGCCAACCAATTACAATTGACGTGTAAAATTTTATGTTATGTACTAATCAACTATACTTGGTACCAACATTATTCAGTTTGTACCAACTTCAAATTACATATATGAAAATTTGTTATTTTGAGTTTTCAGATAACACAGTTAATGTTTAAGGGTTTTAATTGCAATGAATAAAACTTACAAGTATTTAAATATTTTAACAAAATAATTAAAGTTATAAAGTTTAATATTTAGTACGTAAAAATTCAAAAATTAATAAATAAATTGGTACCGTAAAATACAATTTTCATACAACGTAACAACCAAATTTACATAGGTACAGTACTATCAACTGATATAATCGGTACACATATTGTATGGTTTGTTTTGATACAATATTAAGGGGTTGTTTGGCAGTTGCTGAATGATTAAGGGGTCAGAGTGATTAAGAGACTTTCATGATATAGTGTAAAATGAAATATAATTGTTTGATAATTGTTTACAATAAAATCGAAGTGTTTAATAGTTAAGGGAGACTTAAAATACAAAATCATTCAGAATGTTTTAAAACTATTAAAAGACAGATTTTTTTTTTACTAAACAAAATTCATTTTTTAATAATTCAAATTTTACCTCTTAATAAAACTATTAAGAGATAAATAACCTCACACTTAGCATCGAGAAATGAGGTTTGGGTGTAGGGAACATATAAGGTTTGTTCGGCAGTGCGCCACTTTTTGCCTTTAAAACTCTCCTCCCAATGCTTTTGTTTTTATCTTTTGAGTAAATAACAATTTTGGTCCTTCTGGTTTATACAAATTACAAATAGCCTTAGCGTTTCTAAATTTCACATTTTGTTTCTATCTTTTGAGTAAATAACAATTTTGGTCCTTCTGGTTTATACAAATTACAAATAGCGTTAGCGTTTCTAAATTTCACATTTTGTTTCGAAAGTGATTCCTGTGATTAACTTTGTTAACAATAGTCGGTTAACTAAGGAGTATTTTTGTAGCATTTTCTCTATTTTCTTTTCTTCTATATTTATCCATTAATTATGTTTTTTTTCTTTTTATATTACAAAATAAAAAGATTATGTTGTATCCCTTCATTTATGATAATATTTAATATCAAAAGGATTATATTTACCTGTCATTTCTAAAATAAAATCTAATAATGGAAATAACTTTAGATAAAAATCGACATAAACCCACACGAGCAATAAGTGATAAGACACATTCTACAAAGCATCCAAAATAAGATGATGCTTTGTATCCCAAAAATCACCGAAGCATAGATAAACTCGATATCCAGATCATCTTTCGGTGGCAGCAGAGATCCGTTTTCATCACTTATGAAAGTATTAGGACTAATTTATATATTTGGTCCCTGTATTATCGAACTTACTTCAAAAAAGAACATTTATATTTTAACCCCTCCATAAATTAAGCAGGTACCGTTTGTGAGATAATATTGAAATTTAAGGTGCTAACTTGTAACTTGTTGGTGGCCAAAAAGGGTCAAAGTAAATGCATGCAACCAATCGAAGGGCAGTCTGCCACGTGGGCGACATGGGTTTTGACTTCTTTTGCTACATCCAACTCATCTTAATTACATTTATTATTAAGCATTCGTGTATGATTCGCACGTGGCAGACAACCACTTTTCGATTGCTAACTTCACTTTGGTTTATATACCAATCCTATATTTTATCAAACATTAAATACACATTAATATTTTTTTTAAACTCTAAAAAATCCAATAGCCTTTAGTGTTTGAAATGATCAAATTTTTAAACAATTTTTTGGAACAAATAAGTCTTTAAACATTTCAAAACTTGTAATATCTTTTTTGAATAATCTGTTGAAAATGTTATAATATAGTTAAAAGTAGATGTTTTATTTTAATCACCAGTGTGAAGTTGAATGTGTTATAATTTTTTATAAAACTTTCTTTAAATGCATTGAGATATGAACTCATGGTGTATTTTAATAACATATTTAACGTTGAAACTATTAAAATAGTGTCCTTTTTTTTAAGTTGGATATTAATTCTTTTTAGATATTTTAATTTTAAAACTCTATTTCAGAAGAAAAAAAATCCAGTATAGTTTTTTTCTTTTTGAAGTATATAATATTTATGTACGGTAAATAAAACTAATAAACTCACATATTTTCTTCACATTTGGCGAGATTTGAATGTCTGACCTCCTAGGAAGTTAAAGACTCACATACCGCTAGACCAAAAACTCTTTGATAATTCAGCATAGTTGATGGTTATATAATCCTTTTACAGAGGTCATGTTTGGTAATTGGTAACTGATAATCGTAAACTAGTTTATTTAAAATGTTTTTGGCAGTGTTTTAGTAAGATTTAAACATTTTTTAAGCAATTTTACATTATCATCTAATTTATTAGTTACTTTTATCAAACATGACTAATTTATCAGTCAGTTGATCAATCAACAACTAGTTATTCAGCTTACAACTATTTTTCAGACAACAACTAATTTATCAGCTAGTTTCTAAATTTAAAGATTTCCTTATTTTCTTTCCTTCTTTTCTCTATTTTAAAATAGAGTTTGGCGTAGTTATTACAACAAACTTTACTCAAATCTCTAAAATTTATAAAATAAGGGGTCGTTTACCATACACTTACTCAGTAAGTGTTTACCGGTAAAATTTAACACTATTATTTACTTACCGGGTAAGATCTTAGTCCATCAAAACAACTTTGTATGCAATAATTTACCCGGTAAGAGTCGTCGCTCTCATTTACCGGGTAAGATTTTTGGTCATTGTCTCGCTCTTACTGGTAAGATTCTTAATTCTTATCATATTCATCCAATGAGGTAACGTGAATTGATATGCGCTTACCCGGATAAACGTTTGGTAAACGGCCCCTAACTTAAGTTATGTTTAGTTTGCAGGAATGGAATGGAATGGATTCGGGTAGATTTGGAATTCAAATCTATTTCAATATCATATTTGGTTTGTAAGATTGTCCGGATTTGAAATCCTATGATCTAATTGAAATCCTACAAAGATAGGATTTTGAAATCCTTAGGAAGTGCTCGGGATTTCGTAGAATCGTATGAAATAAGGTTTTAAAAAATGTTGAAAGCATTTGTTTTGTAATAATGGATTAATAAAAAAATGTAATTTAATTATTTTTATAACAATCTGTAATTTTTTATAAATAATGAAATTTGATTTCGTTCCAAATCTTATAAACCAAACACATCAATGATTTCAAATCCAAATTTCTCAAAAATAATCCTACAAACCAAACATAACATTAGCTGTTAAATGTAGTTTATATTAATGGTTTGAATAATTTTGTTGTTTGGAAACACAAGGGAAATATGGGAATTTGTATGGTTTTGTTGTCGGGCGGCACTTTTGTCTCTAACCTCTTCAAATCTTGTGTCTAAATATTATTATTATATTATATAAAAATGGAAAATTTATTTATTACCACTAAAATAAAAATATTCACCTCTGCCATCTCATTCCTTATTCATGCCTCACTTCTAATTCTAATTCTAATTCTACATGCTCAAACCTATTAACTAAATCATCAATCACTAATAATTAATTGAAAATTTATAGAAAAGCAAGATAAAAGTTAATATGCACATGGCTGAAGCCAACCCCTTTGAACCATATCCTTACAATATAACATATTACAGTTTAGAACCACCAAACCAAGTGATTTTGTTGCATATCATGATTATTAAAGGTATTTGGAATTGTTTATAAAAATAACTTATTGACTTATTCTAATATCGGTAATAAGCATTTTTGAGTTTTTGGATAAACAACTTATACCGATGTCAAACCGATGATAAGAAGTTTTTAAATAAGTTAAATTCTTCTGACCTATAAGTTAATAAATGTTTTTTGTAAAAAAACATAAATTATTTCAAATAAGCAATCCCAAACATCACCTTAATTCTCAAAAATATTAAGCAAAGCCAATACTTTTTAGGTAATAATAAGTAATTAAAATGATGTATCATTCATATCTATATTATATAGACCATGTAAGCCAAAAAAAAAAAGGTTAATCGATTTAAAAGGTAATAGGTAACTCATTGCTATCATATTTTAACAGGTAGATTTTCACAATACAATGCTTCAATAAAAAATAATTTAAAAATATAATATTATAATAATAAATTTTATAAAAATAAGTTATCATTTATTCACACAAACCCTAGATTATGTATGCAATATTAGAAAAATATAATATTTAATTTAAAAAGAAAATGTTTTTTTTAAAAAGTTATTATGTAAACTAAATTTTTAAAAACAAACGTACTTGAACACTATTTTTAATATACAAAATTCAGAAAAAAAAACTAATAACTGTTACAAAATTGTCGGATGAAATGAAATGATTTCACCGCCGGCCCCTTCCTCTTCCTCCGCCTCCTCCCCGCCCTCTTCTGCCACCACCTCCGCCACCTCTCCTCCCTCTTCCACCACCTCTGCCTCCACCTCCACCTCCACCTCCACCTCGCCCTCTTCCACCACCACGTCCACGGCCACGGCCCTGAAATCCTGATCGATCAGACTTCAGCCCAAGTGACTGTATTCCTCTTCTCTTTTCACGGTGGTTATCATCATCATCATCGTACTCGTCTTCCTCATACTTCCCCTTGCTTCGAGAAATGAACGAAATTTCTCGTGATCCTCCGGGTCCCAATTTAACCTTGTTGAACGCATTTGAACCTCGGTTATTATTATTTGCCATCGCTTTTACCCGCTCTTCTAGCGGCAAAGCATCTTCTTTTGCAAGTGACCTCCGGTTTCCAAATGCTTCTGCGTGCCGCTCATCTTTAACTTCATACAATCTGCACGTTTTTTAAAGAAGATTCGGTTTTTTCCATACGCGTTGAGGTATATAAATGAATAAAAATCCAAATCTAACGTCGCCTCTCTATATTCACCAATCACGGGAAGACACGGCATTATTTTTATTTAATTAAAACTTATAATAAAATGATGATGGTCATTATGCAATTGGTGGACAGAAACGGTCAACTTACCTTGGAGCTCGAGTTTTCGTTGCGTTTTTAGTTTTATCGTTTGTAGGTTCGTCATCTGAAGACTGAAATTCTTCTGAATCGTTTTGGTCCTCATCGTCGTCCATAAATGGCTCAAAATGTTCCTTCACCAAAGACTGCTGCACTGGTGCGGCTAAAGGATGCAGAGCCCGATATTCTTGTGACTTTTCATCGACTTCGAAATCCTGAAGAACGTTACAATATCAAAAAAAGAGGCTGCTCGAGTATGTATCGATCGATGTTAAGCACTTCCATGCAGTCAATATCCAGTTAAAATTTGTTTTCTTGATATGACTTTGGGTTTGCTCCTCGATGGTTAATTGGGATTAGTCAAGATGCACCCAAACTGGACGCATGGTTTGTAACATTTACATGGTATATACATACATAAATAAATATATATATATATAGAGAGAGAGAGGGGTAACTTTTTTTGTTAACCGCCTAATTAGTACAAACTTTGTTAACCGGGCATTTTCGTCATTTTCATATACTGAGATCGCATTTTTTTAATTATCTTATTCTATGAACTTTGGTAAAAAAAAATTGGAACAACCAATGTTCATGCATGAAACAACATTATAAACTTTAAACAAAAATCATTGTTTCACCTATGAACTTGGGTAAAAAAATCGATTATCTTCTAAACAGGCAACGTATAAAACATGATTATCTTCCAAAAATAGAAACAATTTGTTCCGAAATTGCCCTCCACTTAATTCAATTTAATTTGTTTGCTTATTCATCATTTTATAACATCCCATTTGATCATAACCGCTGATAAAAAAAATGAACGGCTCAAATGAGTTTGTAAAGTTAATACTGTTTATTTGGTTAACAACTGATTGTGCAATATATATGTGTGTGAAAGGGAAAGAATGTTTATGAAAAGATTTCGCATACCTCATTCTTAAACAAAGATGTGAACCGTTCGTCTTGGAGAACTTCAGGAGTGAGTCCCTTTCTTTTCTTGGATGGTTTCTTAGCATCAGCGGTAGTAGTATCACAAGTCTCTTTTTTAGTTGCTTCTAATTCCTCGTCTTCAAGAAGTCGTTTTGCAAGAACCCGATTAACCTTGGGCAGTTTTTTCTTAATCTGCAAGAAAAACAAATTAATAATCCCAAAGTCTCATGGATTTGTTTATCACTGCAAACTCCAAAGAGAGAGAGTACTAACCGTAATCCGGGTGCTACGTTCCTCCTCCTCCTTCTCCCGTTTCCGCCGCTCTATATACTCTTCATACACAACTGGATTAGCCGCTGCCTGCGCCTGCAAATACATTTCAAAGACACGAGATTTTAATATGATAGCAATTAGTCCCTCCGTCACAAAATAAGAGTCCACATTTTTATTTTAGTTGGTTTGTCCCAAAACTAGTACCCACTTTCAAATTTCCAATTCTACCCTTTACTATGAGGTGGAGAAAACTCAATACTCCTATTATCAAGGGTAAATTGTCATTTAGTTAATTAAAGAGTGCAATAACTACACAAATTTCTAAAACTACGTGCCTTTTTTCATGGTAGACATTTATTTTTGGGACTGAGGAAGTAAGATGTGAAACCGAATATGCTATACCTCCATAACATTTTTATCATTTCTTACCAAAACCAATTAACTTGCTAGATATAAAACAACACAAAAAAAACTGACATCCAACAACGTAAATTTAAGGAATCACCTTTTTATACAGGCGGAAATCGATAAAGAACCCATGCATGTAGGCTCTAAGAAGATTTGTGCCAATTAAATTTGTCAAATTCAACTTCTCGAGCTCCTCTTTAGTCAAAAATTTGTAATCATCATAAATAGTAGTTTGTGCATCCTCCTCCATCTCTTCCTACATATAGAAGACCAAAATAAGGGACATTTACAAGAAGCTCCAAAAATGGAGACCGCAAGTCATAAAATTTAATGCAATCGATAAATTTATATGGCATACAGTCAAGTTCTCCAAGTATGAACACCACTTTGGAGCAGGTCCCAAGGCCGGCAAGAAATAAGAAGGGATCTGGCTGGTGTCCAGAGCCAATAGCATCAGTCCACTTTCACCAAAAACGCACATATCATTAATGGCTCCACCTGTTGGTTCGATACTGGTCATTCCTTCCCCCTGAAAGGAATAAAAACTTCTTTCAGTGCAATTCTTCGGAGGCATTTAGAGAGTCAGGATACACAATGAGCAATTTTGGTCTTTCTTTTACAGAAAAAAATTTGCAAAATTATGAACAAACTTGGGTTTTATGACCAGATACAAAAGAGATAAAATAGACTACAAATTATTATTCTTAGACCGTTTTGGGGCACTATGGGAGTAGACTAATAAAAGTTAGGTTTACTGTGTACTAATCTTGCATATTTGATGTATGAACCATGAAATAACTTGTTTTCTCTTACTGGTTTGGAAATAAAAATTTAAAACATATGTTTGGTATAATCACTCCATCCGTCCGAAAATAAAAGGTCCAAATTAAAAAAGAAGAATTTTTTTGAAATGTGTAATGATTAGATTTTTTAATTTACTAAATGACAATTTTACCCATAATAATAATAGACGGAGTAATGAATTTCCCCACCTCATAATTAAGGGTAGAATTGGAAAGTATGAACGTACTTTTGAAAGTGGACACTTATTTTGGGACAAACTCAAATAGAAATGTGTAAATTATTTTGGGATGGGGGAGTAGAAACTAAGATATAAACACTTACAGTCTCCGGATCCCAAATCCGGACAATATGCTTATCAGTAGTAATTAGCTTCGGTCGCTCAGAGTTGAGAGTTTGATGCCATTTGATGTTCAATATGGGGCTTCCATACCTATAATATTTTACCATGTTACCAACTCTATAGCAAATAAAATTGACTGCGCTGTTATAATTGTAACTGCCTGAAAGGGTAATTAACTTACATGTGATCTTTTACTCGGAGAGGAGCTGACGAACGTAAATCATATATCATTACCTGCAAATTAGCATAAATAAGCCTTGTAAAACTAATTAATATGATAGAGAAAAAGTCCCCATCATACAACAATTGTATTTGGCTTTAATACTCCCAGAGTCCGAAAATAAATATCAACAATTAAAAAGGCACATAGTTTTAGAAATGTGTAATTATCACTCATTTTAATTAACTAAATGGTAAATTTACCTTTACCTTTTAATATAGAGACTAATTAACTTCTCCATCTCAGAATTAACGTAGAATTGAAAATCAGACACAGTAAAGTTGGTACGGGCTCAAAGCACACTTAGGCACAAAGGGGTCCAGGGGCCTAGGTGTGGGCCTCAGAAGCGTGAGGTGCATCTTATAAAGGAAAGCATATACATATACACACACAGAGTTATACACAACTCAAATATGTAGCAAGTACTCCAGTGCAGCAACCAGCAGTACTTTGATAGAGGCAGAAGGGAGAAGGGTTTAAAGCGTGAGCCATGAGGGAGAAGTTTTGAGGTATGGGTATTTATAGAGAAAGAGACTTTTTTGATAGAGAGGGGGGTGACCCCTCATAGAGAAAGAGACTTGAAGTTATAAGAACAGGGTATCTGATATTAGGGTTTGACTTATGTCATCTATTTAATAACTCTTCTTTTAAGAAGTCTAGGCAATATGGAGATGAGAGAACTTATTTGATGTTGGGGTTTGACTTCGTGATTAATATCTCTTTATGAGGCGCAGCTAGGCCCACAAGGCGCCTCAGCCAAGACGCAGGGCCTTAGTGAGCCTGGTGAATACCCCTAGCCTCGATTTTAAATAAGCCCAAGACCTTGAGCCTATGAGCCTCAGAACCTAGGCGCGCCTCAGGCACGCTTTTAACAACTATAAGAGACACTTTTGAAAGTGGACACTTCTTTTGGGACAAACTAAAATAATAAATGTGGACGCTTATTAAGGAATGGAAGGAGTATAACATAGTACAAAATGGAACAGAGTATAAACAAACATGAGTTGCTAGTTTAAGCATACCTTTCCACCACTACTTCCAACAGCCATGTGATAGCCTCCTTCTCCATCAAACTCTAGAGCAGTAACCTCCTACATAACACAATAATGTAGGTACACATTTAACTCCCATCTAAATATCTAATACATGAACCTTGTGTGTTCCCGACACTATCCATTTGCTAAAAATAAGAAGTGTCTTTACTCCAAAACATTAGGAAATAAGAAAATTGTTTGGCATTTTTGTATGTAAATCTCAATTCAGAAACAAACATATAATTCGTAAGACTTGATTTTTGTCACTTCAAATCCAAAAGACTGTTGTAATAGGCCTCTACAGAGATAATCAAGCTAATATCTGCGAAAGATGAACATGTTGTGATGGATACTCATTTCATTAGCTAAAATTGATGATAATGAAATGATGTTTATCAAGAGAGAAGAAAGTATAGGGTCATACAAGTTCCTGTTGAACAATTGCAATAGATAAATAATAAAGCCAAACTTTAACAAAATAAGAAATGAATATTGCTTACGAATTTAAAAATACCAAAAAGACTTGTTGTAACTTGTTACAAATATAAAAGCAAACAGACTTGTTATATAATAAGAAGTGAAGATGTTTGTCATTTCACCAATTTTAGCCAGCTGTTTTGAAGTTCAAAAAAAACTTATCAATAAAATCCATGCTGATGATCTGCAAATGTTATTAGCATCTGCCATAAGATCCAAAAATCATTTTTGTTATTATTTAAGAGCAACATGGTCAATTCAAGCAAAGTGGTAAGAGTCTCTCATTACTCTAAGTCATCAATCAAATTATCCACCAACTTGTTATGAAGGCAATCATAGGAACAATACAACTTGCATTCTGCATGAAGAAACAAGAAAACAACCTGGCCACCATCATTAGCAGATGTGACTGTGTCAAGCCTAGCAACAGAAGATCTTATTCGCATATCAAAGCATTCGACAGCACCATCCTCACCACCACTAGCAATTAGCCCGTGATACTTGCTGAAATTTAACAAGAAATTGTAATATTAACTATAGAATGAGCTAAACGGGTAATGGACAAATAAATGCAAACCAACGAGCAGCAACTTCACAGATGAAGTCAAACCAACCTTCTAGAGACTACATTTAGTGCTGGAGATTGTGTACTAAGAGAAGATAGGAATCGTCCCTGCATAAAAAGTAATAGAACTTATTTATGAAAAATAATTAATAATATTTCACAATAACATCAGGAAGAGGAAACAAGAGAAAAGAGAGATGAACGGCGGTACAAGACCGCAAAGTAACAACATATTTTAGATGTGGCAGTCTATCAGGAGCTGAACAGATATCTTTCATTGTTTCAGCTGACCAGAAAGTTTTGATTTACTACCACTCACAAATATTGTAGAAACTACAATTTTAAAAGAAGACCTTCGAACAAGTGGGCAGTAAAGGAATTTAGAGATGAACCTGCTCTAAGTTAATTCTGTAAAGATCTGGAGAAGAGGCTGCACATATCAAGTCACAAGACCAGCAATCATATATCATATCCCTTCCCATCCTGCTCAAGAAAGGGATCAGAGTGATGTAATATAAAAATTAACTATATAATTAAATTTACAAGATAATGTATAGTAAGGCCGTACTCCCTTCATTTTAAAATAAGGGCAAAATGCATGAAATAGCAACCTACTTTTACAGATTTCCTTATTATAGCATTCTGCTTTTCTTATTACAGCAATGTACTTTCAAAACATTTTTTATTAGGGCATCATACTTTCAAAAATTTACCTGTTATAGCATTGGGTAACCTTTTAAATTAAATTTACCCATTGTACCAGGTTTCTTTGCCATCTCATCGTCCACGTAGCCTGTCCACATGTACGATAGTGCTGACATGACATATCTTATTATAGCATTGTACTTTCAAAATTACTTTATTATAACATCACCAATTTCTATTACAACATTGTACTTTTAATTTTAATATTTTTATCATTTAAACATTGTAAATTTAATCAAATATGTTTACTAAAAATTATATTTGATTAAATTTACAATGTTTAAATGATAAAAATATTAAAATTAAAAGTACAATGTCGTAATAGAAATTGGTGATGTTATAATAAAGTAATTTTGAAAGTACAATGTCATAATAAGAAATGTCATGTCAACCCTAACATACATGTGGACCCCTACGTGGAAGATGAGGCGGCAAAGAAACCTAGTATAATGAATAAATTTAATTTAAAAGACTACCCAATGCTATAACGGGTAAATTTTTGAAAGTATGATGCCCTAATAAAAATATTTTGGAATTACAATGTTGTAATAAGAAAAACTGAAAGTAGAATGCTATAATAAGAAAATTTGTAAAAGTAGGTTGCTATTTTGCGCATTTTACCCTCAAAATAAATATATAACACTTCACAGGACAACACAGTTTGCACGGTATACAGCAAGTATTCGACTATTAGTCAAAAATATAAAACACCCCTAAATAATGATGAATGGAGGATCTAGCAGACCAAATATCCAAGTTGTCAATATTCGGTAATAATTAGCATAGACGACCAAAAAAAAACTTTGCATTTATTATGAGACATCCCAAAAATGAAATTGCGGCATTTACCTTGGGACAACAATTATACAGAACTTGGATCAATTCTTCCATATGCAGATAAATGAACAAGATACATTGCAGATTTAAAAGAGAAAAGCCACATTTGCGAAAGTTAAAAAATGCAGAAAGAGACAAGATTATGAACCTTGGAATGCGTAAACTGTGATGACTTCCATATTTAGCATGTAGACAAACAGAACGATCAGCACAAAGGAACGCAAGCTTTGAATAATCATCACTTAACACCTGTTTAAACATCAACAAAACATTGAGCTACTTGTAGTAGACTGTCTGCCTCTTGTAATTTTAATATTTAACCTTCCATAAGAAAGAAAACCAAAACATAAGTCACCCCCATTTTCACTTCAGATTAAAAACCTCACTGGTAAGTACCTGTCTTGTTTATATTTGTCTTGTGCAGTGAGGACTGATTATTTATGTAAGACAACTATACTGTAAAATATAGTATCAAAATGTGCCATGAACAAATTAAATACAAATTTCAAAACTTCAGAAAAAAGATACCTGAAAGTTAATAATCTCCGATACCAGGTGCCTTTCAAACTTCAATGATAACTCCCTTAACTCATATACTTTGACTTGTGGTGGATAGATACCTAAACCTCTCCGACAGTCAGAAAACTTCATAGGACAGTTATAGCTGCATCAAATAAAAATATATATCACAAGTTCTCAATAACCTGAAGCAATGAGAAATTCGCCATCTGGGGTAGCTTTAATTCTAGTTGTTGCAGTTTCAAATCTTAAATCCTGGATCAAATCCACCCTTTCCATATAATCTATATACAGGGAAATGAAGTTGTTAAGGGCAACAAAGCATAAAATAAGCTTGCAAGTTTTTTTTGAGAATAAAGTGCAAAAGGCATTATAAGACTAAAATATAAATATAATAGTTCTCACTTAAAACAAAAATATGAAAAAACACAATAGCCTAAGTCATGATAAGCAAAATAGGGAAGTCGGTTCACCTGTTAATACGGATTAGTACCAAATTTTAATTCACATGCAAAATTTTACAGAAAAAGAGGATGCATAAAATCCGTACTTTTGTCTTTGCGAAGGGCTCTAATCTTCTTCGGTGGAAGCCAAGTGGCCAATGACCGGTGTTGTCCAGCTACCGTGTACATCTTCACCCCATTTATGGATGTCGACTTTAGGTTTCCTCCTTGGTATGCCATCGTAACTATCCTTGCACTTTCCTAATCCCAAGACCTGTTATGCCATATCAAAGAATCAATTATACTACCATCACCAAACTCATTTCAACAATTTTGTACTATGAAACTCAATAATTAATTCCAAACCTGCACCTAGAAAATGTTACTTTTGACCGGAAAATACTCACACAAGCATAACCACCAAGACTTGAGAATCAAGCCAATTCGAGGTAGGTCTGCACAGGGCTGATCCTAAGATTTCATGCCCAAGGAGAAAAGCCAAAAAAATTCCCCCAACATATAAAAAAGCAAAAATGAAACATACTACTGTTAAGAGGTTTGAAACCTACTCAAGCTAGACGGCTCATTCCCAAAAAGGAAGGAAAAGACACAGAAAATGACGTAAATATGAGTCTAGTGTGTCTGCATAACATTCTTGTTAGTTGTTAGGATGAAGACCATATACGAATGCACCACAAAGTAATAACCAAAAAGATGGGAAATTCAAGAAACAATCCCCCAAAGAAGGAAGACCCACGAAAAACACACAGAGAAAGGTGAGTTTAGTGTCTATGTGTGTTAGTGTTTACCATTCTTATTTAAATGTATGATTGTTGATTTTCTCAAAACCTATAGTAAAACATACAGAAGCAAGTAATGACTTCAAAGTTTAAATCCATTGGGCCTTTTCAAACAACATTCAAATTAATAGCTCAATAGTTAGATTACAAATTTCTCAGTAACCTAACTCAAAACTAAGACTTACATAAATCAAACTCAGACTCAGCCACAGATCAAACTCAACGAACCAAAACGACAGGAATCAAAAATCCAAACAAATGCAGAACTCAACTACAGTGTACTATTCCCAGTCCCTGTCCCTTGCAAATCCCCCAAGTCATGGTGCATTGAAGACGTCCTAACTCAACAAAATGTAGAAAAAGAAGTTCATTTCTAAGGACAGTGGTTCAAAAATGACTTTGTTTTTTTGCATCAGTAATCAATGGTAGCATTGGATATTAAACTAATGATCAGAATCATAGCATAAAGTATCATCCATCTTTCTATATCTTTGGTAAACAAAAAGTATCATCAATCTTACTATATTTTTGGTAAACAAAACTAGTAATTTGTTATTATTGTTGCTAATAAATTGACCAGATACATCAACTAGTAACAAATTCTATAACAGCTTAAAATTCACAAAATTGACATGATTATAACATGCAATTTACAGGATAAATGATGAGCTACATAGCAAATTAGAAATCAGTAATCAAAATTCAACTTCATCCAATTAACCTAATCAAACTCATAACTTAATCAACAAATACAATAAAAACTTAAGTAAAAATCAAAAATAAACTCAACAGAACAAGACATAAACTTATCTAACCATAACTTAATCATAAATTATCTATGAAGTAAATCAAAAAAATTAGGATTAAGGAATAAGAATTTACCAAATTTTTGTACTCCAAATTTGCTCCTTTACAGCCTACAGAGCCTATACCAGAGTCCAGAAGGGCAGAAACCAGAAGAGAGGAGAGCTAGGGCATAGAAGCAAAGTGACAGCCGATTTAGTGAAGGCCAGGGCCGTCGTGAGCGGTGGTTTTCGTGGGATTGAGAGCGATAGCGGCTAACTTTCAAAAACGAAGCCCTGCTCTATATGAATATTGGGCTGTGATGCTACCGTGGGCCGTGGGCCATGACCCAGCACTTGGGCCGGTGCTGGTGTGGCCCGGATCTGCGGGTTCGGGTGGAGTGGGGTAAACCCCGATCATGGGGGTAGAGATGACCAAATGTTTCAGGCCCGGTCCAGGACTGACCCCGCCCGAAATCGATTGGGATCAATTTTGGACAGTCAGTTAAGGACTGGTTATGATTTTCATCAAAAAACAAGGTCCGGTCCTACCAAGGACTAGTTAGTTTTTTCGATGGGATCGGGACCTGTCTGGATTGTTACTGTTGCAATACATGACCGATTTGGGCCCAACCCAAGACCTATTTTTAGCCCTGTCTAATTTCGGGGTAGGATTTGTTCAGGTTAGGTGGAATTCGGGTAGGACAAGTTTGGGTTGCATCAAAGTGATCTCTTGGTCTTTTTGGTGTTGTCTATGTACTTTTTTTGGTTGCAGTTGCAAGTCTTTTGAGCCATTTTCTGGTGCCAGTGTTTGGTATCTATAAGCTATGCTAACTGTTAAGACTTGACGATTAAACCAAGAAGAAATTAAAAGAAATGATGTTAACTGTGGATTGAATAAGAAAAACATATATGTCATTTTTACGATATACTTGTATTTTAAAAGGAAAAAAAAAATCTTTTTATTTGTATTCTTGAGGGTAAAAGAGAAGGAACGAAATTGAATGAAAAAAACAAATTTTCATGTTCTTCAGTATAAGAAAAAATAAAGGGAAACTCGTATTTATTTTATAGTGGAATGTACTTGATGGTAGGGTGCACATGGGTTGGGTTGATCTTGTTGAAGACATTTAAACAATCCAACCCAATACTTGCAGTTTGAAAAATCTTAACTCAATCCAACCCAGACCAAAGTGCAACCTAAGCCAACCTAAACTGTACGGGATGGTCGGGTTGGTCAGGTTGATACTTTAATACATTAAAATATTTTTCTAACCTTGAATATGTTATTTCTCTACTCATAATTTTTTTTCATCATCAACCATTTGATGCAACTTATCCATATTTCTTACGTATATCACATTCAGTTAATTTTTTCAATTAACATATATATGTTCACAATTACTGAACATATGTACGAATTAATTATATAGAGATATGAATAGATTGAAAATATGTGTATATGAAGAGTGTACGTGATAGTGTAATTGTCTAATGTATATATTAATAGAAATTCAACAATCATATTAAATCCAATAAATAAAAGGATATCGGGTTCACTGGGTTGGGTTGGGTTCAAATAATAGTAACTCAATACCTACGGTTTAAAAAATGTACAACTTGATTAGACATCATGTTGTTTTGGGTCGAGTTATTTCGCGTTGGGTGGATCGGGTTGGTCAGATTTTTGAGCACCCCTATTTGATGGGTATGTGTGTAATTTTATTAAATATTTATAATTTTATTAAATATTTATAATTTTTATAAATTATTTCTCTCCTTAAGAAAACCCGATAACACAAGATTTTTTCTTTCCTTCCTAATTTACTTCCCTTTCACTTCCGCTCCTTCGTTAAAAAAAACTTGAGAACACAGCTTTACGGTGAAGGAAAGTAAGAAAAGCTCGTGTTTTCCAAAAAAAAAATAGGAGAGAAAAAAGATAGGGAAGAGAAATAACGATAACTTTCTTCCCAAATGTGGAAGGAAAGAAAACGAAAGAAACTAAAACTCTTATTAATCATTAAAATTACAAAACTATCAAACCTTTCATTTTAACGAATATATTTTTAAAATGTATATTTGTAAAAATGATATCTTTCATTTTCTTTTCTTTTTTCCCTGTTCAACAACATGTAATAAAAAAATAAATAATTTCTTTTTCATTACAAATAAATTAAAAAATCCTTTTGTTTTTTTTCTTTTTTCTTTTTCTTCCCAAATTCGAGAACACAAGTTAATGTATAACCCAACCCTACTAATTGCATTTGGGTTTAGTTGGTTGGACAGCACAACAGTAAGGGGTTGTTTGTTTACCTCTTAAGAGTTTCATTAGGAGGTAGTCTCTAAATGGTTAAGAGATGAATCTTGTTTGGCAACAAAAAAAAGTCTACCTCTTAATTGTTTTGAAAACCCTCTGAATGATTTTGTAGCTTGGGCCTCCCTAAATCATTCAGCACCCTAGTTTCATTCTGAACAATTACCAAACAACCATATTTCATTTTGCATTATATCTTAAGATGCTCTTAATAATTCTAATAACTTAATCATCCTACACTCAATCATTCGGCAACTGTCAAACAGCTTCTAGGACAATAAATTAAACCATCAACTCAGTTACATATAATATATACAGAATATCAATGGCATCATCAAGTATGAGCAAACTAGAATTAGAGTTGTGGTTAAAACAAGTGGAAAGTTATATTGTTTCTAATTGATAAAAAAAGTACATTAATATTATATATATATATATATATATATATATATATATATATATATATATATATAGGAGCGATCAAATAAAAACCGCCTTCATTTGTGTAAACCGTATAAACCAATCTCATCCATCCATTTTCTTGATCAATGGTTATGATTAATCAAGGTTATTTAAAGAAATTAAAAATAAAAAAAATTGAAAATACATTTTATAATACCGATAAGGGCAAAAGGATAAAACCAAATATTCATTTATTCAAGGAAACCACATCATGTATATCATATTATTAATGAAACTAATCTATTTTTTATAACGTAATTTATTATTTTTACATTAACATTTATTATTATTAATGAAACTAATTTATTTTTCATCTTGCAATTATTTATTTACGAACCGCCTACATTATGCACCCGTTTAATTTTTCATTTCATCTATGAAAACCATGTCATTCTTAAAAACCGTGTAAACCAAAATCGACCAATAGGAAAATTCCATTATTTTTTAATTAAATTTAATCAATAAGGGTATTTCGGTCATTTTCATTATTTTTTTAATAAATAAAGAAGTTATTAAGGAATATTAAATAAGGAAATTTATTAATGGAAATTATATGAATGGAAAGATTTAAAGATTTTAATATATTATAATATTAAAAATTGATTTTTTTTGTTATTCAATGAATCTGGAAAGTTTTGTTAAGATTATAGCTTGTTATGGAATGAATTCTTGATTTGAGGTTGGTATAATGAAACTGGTGCATAATATTATAATATTGTTCATATGAAAAGGTTTCATAATGATGAAACGGGTGCATAATATATTAGTATGCATAATGAAAATGTTTCATTATAATGAAACGGGTGCATAATATATTTTATTCTTTAAGCAATTAATGTTCATATGAGAAGGTTTCATTATCAAATGGTTTATTTGCCTATTTTATTAATATTGTAAATGTTCATGCACTCGTTTCATGATGATGAAACATATTCATATGAATGGAAAGATTTAAAGATTTTAATATATTATAATATTAAAAATTGATTATTTTTTTTTGTTATTCAATGAATCTGGAAAGTTTTGTTAAGATTATAGCTTGTTATAGAATTAATTCTTGATTTAAGGTTGGTATAATGATATCGGTTCATAATATAATAATGTTCATATGAAAAGGTTTCATAATAATGAAACGGGTGCATAATATATGAGTATGCATAATGAAAAGGTTTCATTATAATGAAACGGGTGCATAATATATTTTATTCTTTATGCAATTAATGTTCATATGAGAAGGTTTVWTTATAAAATGGTTTATTTGCTTATTTTATTAATATTGTACATGTTCATGCACTCGTTTCATGATGATGAAACATATTCATATGAATGGAAAGATTTAAAKATTTTAATATATTATAATATTAAAAATTGATTTTTTTTGTTATTAAATGAATCTGGAAAGGAGTTACAAAATGTTAACTTTGTTTACCAATTTTGCCCTTAGTATTGAAATAAAATAAATATTTATTATTTTTTAATTTTTAATTTCCTAAAATACAGTAAACTAATCTTAGTCATTGATCAAGAAAATGAATTGATGGGATTGGTTTACACGGTTTACACAAATGGGGCAAGTTTTTATTTGAACGCTTCTCTCTCTCTCTCTCTATATATATATATATATATATATATTACATGGGTCTATACAAGTAATCAAACATGTATTATCTTATAACTTTAGCTGATGATTAATTGGCACGTGATCCCAAGCAAATGGAAATCTTAAAG